GTGAGATGATCTCTACTTCAGGATAATCCAGATAGATCGATTCCACCTGTTGTCCTCGACCCATCTGGACCTTCCCAGGGGCTTGCTCTCTGTGCTGCCTCACCAGATACCTTCCTTGTTGCAGGGTAACTGCAAAGATTGGCCTTCCCTCGGCACATTTATCTTCAACCCCCAGTGCACAAGCAGAGCACACACTAGACTAACTCATTTATTTCTACTCATTTATTGATGGCCTTTCATAACCAAGTTATTAAGTCATCAATAACTTCAGTGAAATAAATGAATGGATCCAGAACTGGGCCAACAGATATTTAAGACATACACTGAAAATTTTAACCATGATCAGCAGAAAAGTCAATGCTGGGTCATCAGTGGAATTTCCCCACCTGGGAAAATATATTTCATAAATTTTTGCTTCTAGTTGGAGTCCAGTTTATTTCTGCACAAGATAGTGAAATGAGTGACTTCTCCAGTCACCCAAGTAAAGGGTTGTTGAAAAAAATTACATATAGTAACATTTTTCTGAAATAGCACTGAACGTGTGTTACTCTCATTAGTTAACAACAAAAACAAAAACCTGGAAGTTCAGGCAGGAATAGAAAGAATACAAGCACTTTTGCAGTACTTAGAAGTTCTGATATGATTCCCCAGAGAAACAAAAAAGAGAAGGAAAGGAGGAAAATAGAAGGCCTTATGAGGCGCTTAAAATGGAAGTCCAGGATTCCTAACACTTAAGTTAGGTTTCTGCGGGGATATTTTCAAAGCCTTCAGCAAGCTCAGAGGATGTATATGGTTTCATCATGTTTGTAGAGACATGTGGCTGAGCTATCACAGTCTCTGTGAATGCACTAATATTCTGACTGGATCTCCCCACTCCCAGCCTGGAGGTCCATGTAGAGGAATATTAGCACCTGAGGAACTGCCCGTGTCTTTGGTAATTTATGAATTCTCCAGTTGCCCAGGTTTCCTCACCTGTCAATTAGGAAATTTAATAAAGCATGCTTTGTCAAACTGCTATAAAATATAAATTGTAAGGCTGGCCAAATAGCTCAGTAGATGAAAGCACCTGCTTAGGCAGACACGGGAACCTGAGTTCGATCCCTGGGTTGCTGTGCCAGCCCCACCCCTCAAGTGCACTGAGACAGCAATTGAGACTGGGCGTGATGGCACATGCCTGTAATCCCAGCTCTTGGGAGGCTGCAAACAGGAGGATCACTAAGAAGTCCGATTTGTGTAGTGAGACCCTGTAGACCCTGTAGACTCTGTACTAAATACAACAACAACAACAACAATAATAATAATAATAATAATAATAAAATATAAATTGTTTTTGTAGCTCATGTCTAGATGTCTCCCCAAAGTCTCATGTGATCTTGGGTGGGGCTTTTCAGGGAAGGCTGGATGTGGGATGTATGATGCTGGAGCAAGGGATTAAGTGGGTGATGCTGGGATTAAGCATGTGTGGTTACTAAATTAGTCCACTGATTGGTTTGGCATAGTTGTGGGTTGGATGATGGAAAGCTTGTTGTGGAAGGAACCACCCAAGAGTAGGTGTCCTGGACAGGATGAAAAGGAGAGGCTGCTGCCTCACTATTTTGCTGCCTCACTGTCTCCTGCCCACCATGAACTGTTTCTCCTCCGCCATGCCACCCTGCCTTGAAGCCAGTCAAATATAGACAGAAACTTCCACAGACTGTGAGACAAATAAACCCTTCCTCCTTCAGTTCTGGGTGTCAGATATTTCATCTCTGCAATGAAAGAAGTAACTAAGACAAGTCAATACACAAAACACTTAGAATAGTGTCTAGCGTAGTGTGTTTTCAATATGTCTCAATATAGTTTTTTCAATATGACTTTAAGCCTTTACAAACCAGCTACTCCAATTACTTTGGTTCATCTTATAGTAGCCCAATACATTTTCTATAGGACATGAGTTCTTTTCAGAGTTTCAAAACTGAGACACTACAGAAAAACTATCATCCCTGAATTCCAGCCATCCCAGTCTCAAATTTCAGCTAAGTTGTTTTCTAACTATATGAAGCTTGCTTCTTTTCTCTGAGCCTCTGTAGGCTCCCAAGTGCAAAATAGGTATAAAGTGACCTGCTTTGATGGACTGTGGTGAGAACTGAAAATTAATGCTTGAAAAAAAAAAATGACCAGTTAATGTGGCCAGCATGCTGCCTAGCAACTATTGAGCATTCAGTAGTATGGAACTGTCACTTTTGCAGACATCACTCAGCTGGTCTGCTGAAGGGTAGGTGCTAGAGTTCTGGCCCCCTGCCAGTAGAGCTCTCCGCTACACCACCTACCCTTCCTTAAAAACCACAAACTAAATGGGAATTTTCTAGCTTTCCTTTTCATCGGTTTTGTTTTATAACTGTCTTGTCATCTATAGGAATGATTAGCTGCCAGTACTCATCTATGCCTACTAATGGATGGCATCTATAAGTCCCTTTTTATATTGAGGGACTTACAGTTTTATCTGCCAGCTGAACTCCAACCTGCAGTTGAGACTGAGTACTGAAAAATGACTTGTGTAAGTTGCAAGATGATAAAGAAAATGCTATGTGCAGCAGCAACTTGTTGCAAATCGGACACATTTGATGGGATAGAAATAGAGAAAGGTGCAGGGAAGGGTGGAGATGACACCAGCCATCCTGTTTTTGTTTTAGAGGAAATGGGTAGGTTTTCACTCTACATAACAAGGCATAGTACTTCAGTTCTATATCAGAAGAAAGATCCAGGGAACCCTAATATCCTAACATGAAAAAATAATTGGTGTCCCACAGTGAGGACTGGAAATAGGTAATGGGTTTTATGATGAAGTAAGTTGGAGAAACTCTTCCCTTTTGAGATTTTTTTAGTGCTTATATATAAATTAAGAGTTCTATGTCAGCCCCGCCTGAAACATCCTTTCCTGAATGATTGACCAAGAATTTCCTCCAGTATCATCTGAACACTGGCATACAAAGGAATATCATTTGAAAAATTGTAAAGTTTGAAAAATAAGAGGTCTTTACCAATGAGAAAGGAAATGAAAAGTTTGGACTTTAATTTCTTGTAAGATTCTACCCAAATCATTTCTGACACAAGACAAATGACTGATAAATATGGACCACAGTTTATATTCTTGTATTCTTAGGTTATTTGGGGAAGCTGGGATTGTAACACCTGCCCAGTATGCATGCTTCTGAGAGCAAAGTGAATCCCTTGGGTACCAGTCATTTGCTATTGACCACTAATGGAACAGAATGAGAAAGTATAAAAAAATAAGTAAAATAAAAAGAAAGCAAACTAGCCTGGGTCTATCAGAGGCTGGCACTAGAGGGCCAAGGGTTCCCAATGCCCGCAGAATATTGCCTTTCTCACTGGACTGCAAATTCCTGCTGTAATATGGAAATGAACCCTGGGCTCCAACAAAGCAAAAGTCCACATTAAAATGTAAATGCTTTTCAAAATGGAGATAATTATGATTAGAATTGACTGAAATTCACTTTTCTTAATATGCAAAATGAGATGCAGAAGTTAAAAAGTGCTACTGAAAACTCTTCTCACACTTCAAATTGTTTTATCATTTCTCTCTGATGTTCTTAATAATTACTCACCTATTTTTCCTCTTTGTCATGCTTAAATTCTCTACTCCCTTTTGTCTTTAATTCCTCCTCCCTTTTATGGCTCCTTGTGCATGTGTGTGTGCTAACGTGCATGTGTGTGTGTGTGTGTGTGTGTGTGTGTGTGTGTGTGTTGTTTGTGTTATGTTCACTTATCATAGGCTTCCCATCAGGAATATGTCCAAAAATGCTTCATAATCTAAGCAGAAAGATAGCAAAATCAACCATAGCCCTATCAAAAACAAAATGAGGGAGAACTAGAATAACAGTTATCAGACTATTATCATTTCTGTGACCTTTCCCTAATACATAAATAAATGTCATCCAAGTTTTATAGAAGTAAATTGCAAAATTCCCACATCAATGGACAAAAATACCATTTTTATTGATGTAAAAAGTGGCATTTGAGGGGGCTGGGGAGATGGCTCAGTAGGATAAGCGCTTGACTGACAAACGCAAGGATCTGAGCTCAATCCCCGGTTCCACCAAAAAAATAAATAAATAAAAATGAAAATAAATTAAAAAGTGGCATTTGTTAGCTATTCAATAGAATTAGGATTACTAAGGAAAGTAAATGTTGAATTATGACAAAAGAATCTCATCAATAACCATGAGCTAATTTGGCAAGTATTTCACCATCTAGATGGAAATGCTTATACAGTACTTAAGATAGTTTTAGTGTGATTAAATCTCATTTTTATATAGGAGCTCCAAATGATTTAGGGAAAACAAATGTAACTCCCAACCTGCTGGATATCTGATATGCCAACTTTGTGTCTCTCAAAATCAAAGAATGAATTTTGAGGAATGGAAGTTAATAGTAGGAAATTTTATTGAGGGAGAGACAGATCCTGAGAGAAACAGGAGGGGACCCAGAAAATAGGTTACCATGGGTTCCAGTTCATAGAGTAGGTTTAATAGAGCAAAATCACAAGATGGTTACAACATGGGACAAAATCATGATCAGCCAACAAGATTACAAGTGTAGTCACCTAGGTAATATTGACTAACCCAAAGATAAAGCAAGTCACATAGCAAGTATACATGAGTATACGTGGAAAGAACAAGGACCTTTTCTGGAAATGATGAGTCAGGAGGTCCTGGTTACCCACCCAAGTGATGGATGCCTAGTCAAAATATCAATTATAGCATATCGTTTACTCCTCAAGGAGATATGTAGGCCTAATAATTCCATTTTTATTTTGAGACCTGGCATTCAACAAATGCGCATCCAGCCACAGTTGTAATGTACTCTTACGTTCTGCACTGACCCCTTTGAGGGCCTGTCTGACTGCCTATAATAGTTCTACCTAATTCAGCTGTCTATAATACTTTGACTTCACATATATTTTTATATTAAAAATGCCCTTTTTTCCATGGTCTCTCCAGGAAGCAAGTAACTTGGACAAAAGCACGACAAAAGCAGAGAGTGCTTGGCTCTTCAGGATGTGGTATGGCTTTGACCACAAGTATCCTTTGTTAATGACCTCGCAGAGCCTGCTGCTTGACAGAGAATTATTCTGAGCATTTGATCATTGAAGTGTGTGCTCCCTCTCCTCAGGAAACACAGAAAGGTAAAGTGAATTCACAGCCAATCTTATCAAAGGAATGATTGTATAAAATTAAAATACTGTGTGGTCCATATTTAGGTGTTACAAAGAGTTAAGGTAAATCTATGACTCAAATCTGGTGTTTTGTGGCAATCTGAAATGTTCTAATGTTAACTGATAAAATCATGCGGTGCTGAAGAATTGATTCATCTTGTTCTTTGTGGAGATCTGGTCGACCCAACCAAGCCTTTGGCCAGAGGCACCCAGATAAAGGTCCTGTGTGCTTCTCAGAGAACCCCACTTGTATGCTTTTGTTTCAAGCCATAAAAAAAACATAAGAGGATGAGGGTAGGGGTAAGAATGAATGGGCTGAGAAAAGTCTGGATTCTCATAGCATAAAATAACACTTTTTTTTTTCAGGCAGTCTTGAGTAAGCTTCTTTCCATTGAAGGACAATTTTAAAATTCTAGCAGCCAGTATAAACACAGGAACTCAGATATACCTTGTCATGTGATTTGAAGGGCTGAGAAGTCAGGCCTCAAGTGTTCTGCCATTGTGAGTTGCCGTAAGCTGCCATCTCTAATCCTAGGCAAAGCTCCATGAAGAAAAGGAAAGAACTGCACTGCAAATTGAATGTGTTGGGTCTTTGTAGCTAGTTTTCTTCAGCCCCAAATCCCTCTCCTTTCAATAAGAAAATGTCAGTCACTAGATGATTTTAAGCCCCTAAGCAAGGGTTAAAACCACAACAATTCAGTAGGGGAGGAAAAATTAGGAATAAGGGAAAGAAATTCAAAGTATTGGTGAAAAGAAAGGGATAAAAATGGAGACAAAGGAGCAGAAGCAAAAGAAATTCAAGAAGTTCACATCAGAAATTAAAAGAATGACTATGGAAAATGAAGAAAAGTAAAAAGCAGTGAAGAGAAGTCAAGTGAAGGCTGTAGAGATTGGCAAAAAGTAAAACAATGTGACAGTTCTGAAAAATAGAATATTTCAAGAGTTACAAGATGATGCTGTGCTATGCAGAGCATTTTTGAGGCTACCTTTCTGCTCGGGGTGGCTCTGCTGTCTGAGGGTAGCCATCTTGCCCTGCTCAGTGTAAAGCACCACCACCTGTAAAGCTGACCACCCTGGCCGCTGGCTGCCTCCTGGAGGTTCTGGAGCCTCACACACCATGTGAATCCTTCCTAGTCTCTCCTGGGGGAGCTGGTTCTTAGCAGGTTTTGTGGCTGATTTGTGCACCTGGATGATGCTCTTCTAGAAGCAAAATTTTCCCCATCATTGCTTACAAGTATCTGATAACCACACTTGTTGCAAGACATAAAGATTTGACTGAAAACTACCTGAGGACATGTACAGCAAGAAAATGATAAGTCAGAAATGTGATAAAAGGGTTTTTTCCACTTCTGAAGTTACAGTGAAGAAAGCTTTACTATGAAAAGAAAAGTGAGAAAATTAATTCAGAGGCAAGAAAATGAAAGTTGGAGCCCACTCAAATTTTTAGTTCAGAACTGTGACACTTAATTCAGATGATGTCATGGTTTTTAATCTCACTTTTCACCAGTGGCTTATTTCCATATGATTATGGACAGATAGAAAAAATGAAAGCTTATTTATGTTCTCTATAATGTCTGTCCTCATGGTAATTTGTTCTCCTGTGCATTAAAAATTCACTAGAAATTACAGTGCTATCATTGCACAAATATATTTTCACTCACACAATGAAGTTTTTGTGTCCTACTTATGCTTTAAATTTATACCTAGAGAGTGGCAAGCCAATCAGATTCAACTCTGTGACCCCTTGATATATCTTATTTTCAGAGACAAATCATCCATTTGGCATTTATGTTCATTGTGTTGTCCACCTAGAGCCCCATTGATGTACCCTGTGAACCTCTTAGGTTGGGCCATGCCAGCCATCACCAGGGTAGAGATGACACTCCACCTGGGGATGAAATTGTCTAATCTGGACCCAAAAGATAGTGTCATGAATCTAAAAGAAATAGAGCTGTTCAAATTTATTTCCATAAAAGCATATTATGCAAATGAGGCATCATAAAGAATTGCTATCAAGAGAAAAAAGAAGAATAACTAAGGACTCAAATATACTTCTGTTGGCTAAGGTTCTCCAGAGGAACAGAAGCAAAACAGTAGAAGGAATTTACATATGCATATGTATGCACATATAGATTTTTTCAAGTTTGGGGGTAGCAATTATGGGGGGTAGAAAGTGTCAAATCTGAAGGACATGCTGAAAACTAAGACAGGAGCTGATCTGCAACCTTGAAGGTGAAGCCCTTCTTCCTCAATGTGGCCTTGATCTTGCTTGTAAGACCATAGAACTGATTGGATGAGGCCCCAGCTATATGGATGAGTACAGTCTCCTTTACTTAGAATCAACTGACTGCAGTATTCACTATATCTACAAAATGCTTTTAATTGCATCTCTTAAATCAGGGTTTGGTTAAATGACTAGGTAGTCCAGCCAGGTTGGTGCATAAAACTGGGTATCACAAGGCCCAATTCAATTCAACTGATGCCCAATATTCAGACCCAAAAGAAGCCCCTCTTTTTATTCCTTCATAACATAAGTAACTCACACACATACACACACACACACACACACACACACACACACACACTTTCATGAAAATTTTCCCCAAGACTCCAGAATAAAGCATAACATTCAGTGAGGAAGAGCAAGTGCTAAGCTCTGTGTTGAGTGCTTTACATTTAGCATTTCATTTAGCCTTGCCAGCTCTGCAGGAGGCTGGAAGGCAAATACAGAGAGCAAATTCAGCAGAAATGGGCTGCTGATTGGGTCAACATCTGCACAACGGCCTAGGTCACTGTTTGAGAGCATTGTTAGAAACCCACAGTGCCAAAATTGATGATTAATTAAAATTTCATTATGATTTGATGTGGGTAGGAATTCTGAATCATACAGTGCAGAAAAGAAACTGAGAAGCGGGGAGAGGGGAAGGAACAAATGCCTTGTCATCAGGCACAGTATGCCATGTAATCCTTAGATCCACTTTTTCCTGTTTAATTTTTATAACCATCCTCTTTGTGATGAAGGAAACAAACTTCCAGATAACTTAAAGAATTTTTAAATTTTCCACAGCTATTAAATATGAAACCCATATCTATCTCACTCTAAAGCTCATAGATACATTTCATCATTAGCAATTTTATATTCATAATACCTTCTTCTACTTATAAAACTCCATATTTCAATATGGGAATAGTCACCCTTTAAGAAGTGAATAATCATGATTATGCACATTATGTAGTGCACAGCTTACCTTTCAAATATCTGTTGACAATCTATGGACAATAACAATCTTAAAGGGCTTTGCTGATCTCCCACAATTCACCATTTTAGAGAAGTCCAGAAATTTCCAAGTCAGATCCTCAAGTCTTTAGGGAGGAAAAGGTCAATATGCCAAAGAACTCCAAGAAAAGTTCATTCAGGCTCATTAAAGACAGACACATTCTAGCTACATTCAAAGGAATCAGTAACATAAAGCAAACACTAGACTCTTAAATCACCATATCCCCACCTAATGAAATATCTTTTCTCAGCCATGAAAAGGCTCAGGTTACAACCTGGTCCCTCATGCCCCTTTCCCTACTCTTACTCCTGTCACTTTACTGTGACCTCCAGGCTTTCTCAGTCACACCAAACATATGTCTGCATCCGGGGCTTTGAACTGGCTCTCTCCCTCTATTCAACACCTTTGCCTTTCACCTCTCATTCAGAGTGTCAGTGAGACCCTTGTGACCCCCATATTTAAACTATCAGCTCAAACCGGAGTGTTATCTTTTCCAGCTGTATCTTTATACTATGACACTTACCACCACATGGCACCGTATACTTCATTTTGATCGCCTCCTCTTACCCAGTTAGATGCTTTCTGGGGACAGAAATTAGGGTCTGTGTTTGTTGCCTGACACAGCCTCAGGGCATAGTACAGTGTCTGGCATGCAGTGTAGACTCAATAAATATTTATTGAATGAATGAATGAATCAGGTATGCAAGAAAACAAGCAATATTTTCTATCCAGGGCACCTTCCTTTCAAATATTGATGTAGCAGGAAAAGCCAATTAGTTACATGAAGGTTACTAAGTGAATCTGAAAGGAGAGCAGGCCTAGTGGATGACATCAGCATTTCCACGCAGGCTTCTTGTGTGGACCCCACCTCAGCGCCCCCCTTGGATGGAGAGGTCCTCACTGGGTCATTTCTGGAACTTCCATCCTGTGCTGGATCTGCTTACCTCAGGTCCCCTTGCCCCTGGAGAGAAAGAGAAATGGTCATTTTTTCCTCAATCCTTTGGAAAAACAAAAACAAAACACCAGAGTTCTGTTGGCTTAATTTAGTAGAAAACTTGATAAACAACACTGCTAGGAGTCTACAGTTCCAAGGCTAAGTTTCCAATCATGGCAGTACACTTATCAATTTAATGCAAATGAAGTGTTTTTTAATTAAAAACAATTTTTTAAAAAACATAAGTGACACAGACATTAGATTAGTAACTTAAGTTTTATTAGTACTACTAGCCTGGTTCATTTAAGCCTGGCTCTGGCTTAGAAGCCATTTTCTGTATGGATTACTTTGAATACATCTTAAGTCACTAATCATCATGATTTTATTAACAGCACACTCCAAATTTTACAGCCTCTTATCATTTTCATTACAATCACTATGTCCTCACTACAGTCTCATATAATGAGAAGGTTAGAAGCAGAAATTGATGTTTCCTTATTCATATTTTAAGACATCAGATAAAAGTATTTGCTTAGATTCATGTTACAGCTGGTGTGGGAATCTTCTGTTGCCTTATTCATAGGTAACTAATGATCCTACTGGACTGTCTGCTTTCTAGAGTCTCTTTCTATTCTATCATCTGTCATCTCTCT